TGGGTGCTGTGAGGGAGATGCGGTGCTTTTCAGGGGCTGGGGCAGGCACAGCACGATCTGCACTGCTCAGGCTCAGGAACAGCCTCCTTGCCAGTGTTCTGTCAAAGCTGACGAGTGAGTTTATTCAAGACTTGCAATATGAACACAGACACAGTTATCTGATTTCCTCATTACCTACTATGTCTGCTGAGGATAAGAAGAATTACATATGATACCTTTGAAATATTTTTTTAAAAATTAGGATGTTGCCTGATTTAACGAGCTGTATTTTCAGGATAAAATCTACTGTCCAGCCACTGGCCAAATGCTCTTCAGTATGAAGGTGCCATTAACATGTAATTTTTCATTGAATACTATTAATGAAATTTAGAAGCTCTGTGTAAAAATACCTACCACTCTTCCATATATTTGATACTCTGGAATAAAGTTGCACCACCAGGAATCTTATTTTAGATCTACAAAGAAAATATTTGTCTATACATATATATAGAAAATAATGTTAGATGTGTATATCTCAAATAGACATGAGCTGAGGTAAATGTGATCAATATAATAATAGTAATAATAATCAAGAATGCAAACTAAAAATATAGCTTCTGACTAACATTAAATTTTTTTCCTTGAAAAAATGAGAATGGAAAATAAACACTGTTTTATGGACTACATATTAATTCACTATGTTCTACAAGACTGTGGTTTTATTCTTAGCATCTTCATAACATTTGGATATGAGTAATTATAGCAATAGAAAATTTTGGAGTAAAATCCTCTATTTTTTCTTGTGAAATGTTCCTACATTATTTTCCAGTTGTAAGTCACTGCCTATATGAAGTGAGAACTTATAAATTTACTGGCAGCCCATTCAGTTTTTCACTGTGCAGGAACTCCTACTATTTAAGCAGTTTTCACTGATGATTTTTCTTTGGTTCTGCATTCGCTGAGATTCTTTTTAAGGTGAAAGTCTTCTTTTTTCTCTCTTGTTCTTTAATTCTTTATTCTTTTGAATGATTTTTTTTAGAGTTCTTTATAGATTTTTTCAAAGTACGAAGTAGAATAAAAGACTCAAATAAGCAACTTGTAGGTATCAAACTTTGTCAGTATAGGTACTGAATCATGAAAATGGGTGGGAGTGCTAGTCACAGAAACCATCAAGACCTGAGGCAGGGTGAGTGAAGTAGCTGGAAATGCTGGAAGTCACCCTTTCCCTTCCTTCTAATCTCAAGTCTTAGTTCTTCCTGGCCAAGTTGAGGAGGTTACTTTTTTTTCGGAGGATATTCCAGTCTGACACCAGGATACTGCTTTGGCTCTCATAAAGAAGTGGGGAAATATGTTATCACAGAGCCTTCAGTCTGGGCTGCCCAAAGGGTCTTGTCTGCTAAGTAAAATGAAAAGTATCCCCAGGGAAATAAGTTGAGTTCTGTTGAATGGAGAATGTGAGTATTTACTATGATGTTCCTTAATAGGAATTGCAGCTGAAATCAATGCTTTAAGTCAGGTGTGGGAAAGGAGGACTACTCTTTTCCATTCCCAGCTGCATCACTATGTTTCAAAAGCACTTTGGGTCAAAATGCTGTCTCAGGCTGGAATTTAATCTTTCAAAAATGCTTCTGTCTTATTCTATCTGATGCAAAAGGCTTCTAAGGGTTGCCTTAGTAATGCCCAGTAATGTTCTCCTAAGTCATTGGTAGACATGTGTTGACCATGCTGCTGTCTGGAAAGGGACTTGTTACTTATCATGGCAAGTTTGTGCAGACCATAATCTGCATACTGTCTTCTAAAAAGGATGGCTTATGCCAAATTTTTTTTCTCCTATCCTGAAAATCAAGCTTCACACTGAAAAAAAGCATCAGTAATTTTTTATTCAAGCTTTTAGTAGTCAGTCATCTGGCTATTGATAATTCCTTAATTTTTACTTTGATCGGGAGTCATTTAACAAATCCAACAGAGTTTTGTCTATTCTTTCATTAAACTAAAAACCTAGATCAGTAATACAACATAAATGGAATAATGGCCTGTTATCACAATTCCGTGCTATAACTTTCATGTGTAATTGATATGGACTACCTGATCTCTCCGTGGAGTAGAGGACAACATAGAAATTCAGCTTAGTCATGCCTTTCCTGTGTGGTATTCTCAGGACATACATGGCATAATTGACTACAGATGTCTTAGTTTAAAAGCCATCTTTTAAGTTTCATCCAGTCCTAGTAATTCGTGTACAGTCCCATGGGCTGTATCCAAGGATTATGCTAATTTTATTAGCAACTCCTCTTGCTTTAATTAAACTGTATAAATTCCCATCTGGTCACTGTTGTGCCAACACCCTTCTTTCCATTTTTATTTTAATGTACAGATAATTTGTGGGTTTGCATTTCAATTCTGATTTCCTGAATTATCCATAATGTTTTTCACATGAAATAACACGATTTTGAGGGGTGAACTGGACTTCAAATTGAACTAATGGGTTTGAGGGGATCTCTGGATCAAAGCAAAGACCCAAGTTTCTAAAGTTGGCCAGGTCTTTTTGGGAGCAGATTGTCAAAGTAATTTGCCCTGTTGAAAGCACGCACCTATATGGTGCTGTTCAAAATACCTACAAGCAAGCTCTGTATTAACATTTACTGTGTTTATACCACAAAGCAGAGCAATGTGAATTCCTTAGTAGACTGTTAATTTACATGTTATACACTTTCAAATATTTCCAAAAGCAAATGTGAAATGATTAGTAATCTGTTCACATGCTCACAAAATGTTATTAGCAAAATGCCTTGGGCAGTGTGTTATGTTGACTAAAATTGATAATTTTGTATTTTAAAACTAAAGCAACTCCCACTGCCCCTAAATAATTTTAGGACCTGCCCAGAGCCCAGACCTCCTAGTCACACCACTTCTCAAGGTGTGTGTTGAGCTGAGGGGGTAAAAACCAAGGAACCCACAAATAGCAACATCCCCTACCCAGAGCAGTGACCTAAGGTTTGAGTGATTCAGCTCCTGTGAAAATCTCAATTAAAGTTTCCTGTGGAATCCTGCAATTTAAAATGGCTTGTTATCATTAATATCACTGTGAGGAAGTGATTCTGTTGTTTACCACTTGTTCTGCTTATGTAAGTTTTAAAGTGTGCATGTTGCTCTGAAGAAATCAAACCTGGTGGTTCTTTTTCCTTCTGCATAACTGTCTGTCACCAGCTGTGTGTGGTTCTGACAGAGCCAAAGCCCTGGACAAAATATCTCATGCTCCTCAAAGTGTTTAGGTTTTTCTGGTTTTTTTTTTTTTTTTGAAGAGGACCAGAGAGCAAGCTATTTAATGGTATTTGTTAATATATCTTTTTTTGAATAATGGTTTCCATGCCTTGCAGATTCAAATATAACATGACACTTCCTCCTAAATGCCAATTATTCTGTCCAGAAGAGTTGCCCAAAGTCTGCTCCTCAAAGTTACACACCAGACCCACACGGGATATTAAAATTCAATAAAAGCTGTTGTGATAATACGATTGTGCTAAAAGTCTATGCCATAGCTGAATATTATTTGTATGGGTGCAGAATACGTTCCAGCAATTTACATTTACAGCTATGAAGTAATTGAATAAAGAAATGCATCATCATTTTCTTTTTTAGCACGTAGGTGAATTATTTTACCAACATGTGAAAGGGTGTTCATATAACATCATGGTGCTTTCTGCTAGAGAAAAACAATTACAGTGAATAAGGTAGAATGGCTCTGTTATTGCAGTACATAAGACTTTGATTACATACTGCCAAGATTCATACCAGCCTAGTAGTTGTTGACAGATAAAGTAACAAAAATGAAACTCATTTATTTTTTCTTTATTGAGACCTCAAGGTAAAGCAAATTTTCACTTCTTGTACTTACTACATTGAAGGAACAGAGACTGACAGTCAAAATGTGCCAGTCCAGAAATATAAATTAAACCTAGTTTCATATCAAAGTTTCATTTAGTCTCTGAAAAGGAGCTGCTTCTTGGATTATTTTTGATCCTAAAACAAATACACTGTAGACCACTGTAGTGTATCTTGGATGAACTAACCCCCTCATACATTTAGCTTTAATGTATTTTCCAGGATATGCATCTATGTCTATTCAAGCAATTAAAATATTTATTATGGACTTAATTATTTTGCTTTTTTTCCCTGTTTAATAACAATTTACAGTATTTGCAAACCCAGTGAACATGTGGATGGTTTTCACAGAGAGTAGCACTTTTGCTAAAGAAAATGCATATTTTGAGAAAAGGCCTTCCCTCTCTGCTTGTGTAAGGAAAATTCTTCTGGCTTTCCCCATCAGTTCTTCTAGGCAGCTAGATACTGTGCTATTTTATGATAATTTTAAGAGAATTTTTTTGGTAAATTTGTTTATTTTCTAAAGACCAGATAAAAGTAGCTTTTAAAATAGCCAAGTACTGAAATAAGTGGGTTTATCCCATCAAAATCTTGGATTAGTTACCTGGTCCAACTGAACTTAATTGCTGTTCAGATTAATGAGGCAGTTTCCTGGTATCTCCTCCGTAATTAAACACTTCTCTGGTTCAATAAGGTATTAAAGATGCACCAGACATTGAAACCTCAGTGGTGAAATTTAAAACTGTTGAAATTGGAGAGGTCAGCTGTGAAATACAAATTCCTTTGCAGTATGGAAAATTCACTTGTACGGTATGTTTAAAAAGAATAATTTGACTTATATTGGGGATGCTGTATTTGTAAAAATTTTTCTTATCTTTCTGCCATCTAAATGTGAGAATTTTTTTCATTAGTTCCTGAGAAAAAGTAACATAAAGTGCACTTGTTTCCCGAATTACCTTTTCTGACCTTTCACAAGATGATAATTGCAGTACCAGTAGGCTTAGAGGACTTGTTAAAAAAATTAAGCTTGTAAAGTAGCAAAAAATGCCCCTTTGCTTGCTGGTGTCGATTTCAAAATTAACATTTTAGTTCATGTGCTTCTAATAATCGTTGACCCTTACTTCATGTGCTTTCCACAGGAAATGAATACAGCAGAAATTACTTTGACCCGTTGATGGGTGAGGAAATAAACCCAAGGCAGTGTGGGATGGAGGTCAGTGAGGAAGGTGAGGCAGAATTAAGTATGTAATTTTGGTGTCAGAATATTCTTTTCCATTCATGAAAATGAGGTGTCAGAGATCACATATGCAGTTCTATTTAAATATTGAGGTTTACAATTTAAATTCTAAGCCTTAACTGCTCTGAACACGATAGGCAGTATACACAGACTTTGATGAAGGACAGTGAGTTAATGGGCAGGTAAGAATGAGGCTGTTCTGTATTAACTTTGCTCTTGTAGCAAAATGAAGCTCGCTCTGAGAGCGTTGTCTACACCATATGCTTTTTAATTAATGAAGTTAGTCCAGAACTGAGCGCTAAGCTCTAACTTTTTCACAATCCTGCTCCCAAAGTCTTCCTCGGAGAGCACTTTTATTACGGAGTTGAATGTGTGTTTGCCTAACAGAAGGAAACTCTAGAGTGAGTAAAAGTGCACGAGGAGGCTTTTTTGCTTTTCTTTTTTGCCAGTTTAGGCGAGATATTTAGTTTTGCTTCTCTGTGGGCGATAGCAACCAGTGGGAGGGTGTGTCTGCAGAGCTGGAAGAGCAGAAGGTTTGCATAGGTATGAGAAGAGATTAACCAGGAGGTATTGTCTAGCAGAGGAAATTCTCCTCTGCTGTCACAGCTCTTAGATAAAAAGGGTGGGAACGGGCCTGCCTGAATTTGCATGGACTTAAGTAAGAGCATCATCGTGGTAATGAAGTGCTTAGCTCTGCACCGAGTGCGTTGGCCCGGCTCCTGTTGTTAAGCACTAACAAGACGATAGCACGCAAGAGCCAGCTCTCCTGTGTTACCTTGCTAGCCCTTTGCTTTTCGAGAGCCTGTGCTTATTTGTACTGCAGAGACTCTCTAGGTGCACAGCTGAAGTCAGATCAAAAAAAAGTTATCTATTGCAATGTGTATAAAAGTCGTTCACTTCTGAAAGTCATGAGAAACTCTGAGTACATTTAGAGGTTTTAAACTTTGGAGACAAAAACTTGTGTGATTGAAAAAAGCAGGCTCTATTGCATATAACTAACTTGAATTTCTGTGGTCTGGTGAAAAAAAAAATCAAGGTTGATCAAGGTTGGATTATATCTAATCCAAATAGTTTCCCCATTCATTGTGTAGGATAGCAGTGTAATACCTTGGAAGTCAATTTCTGGCTCAGGGTTTTTAAAGGAAAGATTTTTTTCCTGTTGGTCCTGCCTTGGTTCATCTTATGAAAAGGCTTTATGACTCATAATCTGCTTCATAACCAGAGAATGAAAAGCAGATTAGATTTATGTATCTGTGCATGTATGCCTGAAATCATGTACGGACAGAGCGGTGACATAAGGGATATACGGAAATACAGTTCTCACTGGGAGGAGATCTTCTGTTGACTGTGTTGAAGAGGTTGAGTGATAAACTTAGCCATAAATGGTGATTTTTTACTGTATGGTGGGGGGTTTATTTATTTTAGAATTTGGAACAGACTCTTAGTCCATTAACTTGCAGGGTTTGGAGTAGAGAGATGGTTTTAGTCAATTGCATATCATGCTAAGCCTGAGGTCCATGTGTGAAGAGCTGTCTTTTGGTGGTCCTCCTTTTTCTTCCTGGCAAAAATATTGCTCAAAGGTTGGGATAACTCTTGCTTATTAAAAGTCAAATAGCAATAGTATCAGCCTCAGCTTGGCTCCGTGGACCCCTGTAGAGCAGTTCTAATGCTGTATTTACCAGTATCTCTGCCAAGAGCAAAACATTTACCTTGCAGATATTGGTAAGGTGCCTGGACATAGTCCTGGGTACCTTGGCTCTGCTTGAGCAGGGGGAACTGGGCTAGATGGACTCCAGAGGTGCCTTCCTGCCTTAAGCACTCTGATCTGTCAGTATTTACAGACCAGGCTCACTGTCTGGCTTCTTTTTCCTTGCAGAAGTTTTAAATTAGTGGAAGTACCTTTGTATGTAGTGGATGGATTTAAAAAAGATGGTCAGAAATAAAACTTGGTCCTACATGGTCATCCCCTGATTGGAAACCATACTGGTTTGCATCTTCTTTTCAGCTAGCAGCTTGTCATGAGCAAGAGTCAAAACCAGAAAAACATGAAGAAATCAGGGCACACTTTGAAGTTACACTCTTTTTATAATTTTAGGAAGCCAGGCTCAATGACCAAAGAGAGTATCTAGTGAAAAGAAAATCTTAGCCACTAACTATTCTTTAATGGGTTATTATGTGAAAATGAAGATATTGGCAATTATCTTTTCTATATTTGATAAATTAGATTTGTTCTGGAAATTTGTATGAGTTCATTATGCCCTGAGAACAAACAATGTCCCACTGTGGATTTGCTTGCCACCTTGCCAAGGGAACATTTCAATGTTGCAGGCTAAAAGAAATGTAAAAGATTCTATACTTTCAGAAGAGCTTTGCAGAAGCCACTACTCTCTTTAAAAGATGAGTGTAACCGAAAAACTTGCCTCTGAAATTTCATGGGAAAACAAATTTATTCTTTGAGATTCTATTGAGCACTTAAAAAGGACCACCCAAGCTTGCATGTAGCTGTACTTCAATCCACCTGCCTTGTATGCATTTCTTTGGTCTTCTATCTGCCTGTCTTCACTGACAGCTTAGAGAACTCAGGGTCTGGGAGATCTGGAGAGAAAATGGTCCCAGTTGCTCATTTCTCCCCTGAATGTAGAACCTTAAAGTAAATTTTTTTTTTTAGGTCTCATGGAAAAGGGTAAGTGTGCATGTCCTTTGCTGCTTTTTAAAATGTGCAGATATTACTGAAAATTTGAATGAGTAACCAGCCACAAATTCAAAATTCGTAGAGTGTTGTAATGACTACTCATATTAGATAATTTGTTAGTATTATGGACAGCAAGGTAAAATTTCTAATGAAGATCCAAAATCATGTTAGAATAAATTGGGAATTTTGATTTTCATTAAGAGTCAAATAGAATTCATCAGGCAATTTGAATATAAACAGTCATTTCAGCTACTCTATTAGCAGAATTTATAAGCCAGTTTCAGTTCAGATCAACATACAATATTGCTCACCATTTAAAATTATATGACTATATTTTTTTATTTGAATTGTCTTGCTTCAAACAAGTGGCTGTAATTTTATTCTGAGCTATGTAACTAGCACTGTAAAAACTATCTTCAAGTGTCAAAGGACTTCCTAACTTTTGTATTTTTATATCTTTGCTTTTCATTTAAAATAGTATTTCCTGAAATACTACTGGAAGAAACTATAGCTGTTTCACTGTTGTTTTTTTTTAAGATCCTGTGAAATTTGATGAGAAAATCCTTTACTCTAAACTGATGAAGCTTCTAGATGAAGAAAACAAGATGCTGGACTTCCAAGGTACGTAACAAAGTCAATTGCGTAAAGAAAAATAAAACTCTTTTGAGTCTGCATGTGGGAAGGAGAGAGGGTAATCCATCCCCTTGAACTCGGAAGTCAAAGAGATGATGATTTTAATGCAATTCTGTAAGGTCTTTTTCTCCAAATGTTTTTGTTTTGTGTCATGTTTATGTGGTTTTAACTGTAACTTAAGTGGCGTGCTTTCTCTAGATTGCTTCACTGTATGCTGAATTCCACACTTACAAAGGGAGGCTGGAAATGTTGCTTATGTGCTCAAATCTAGCAATGGAAATCCTTATTTAAGCTGATAAATGTGTAGGCAATTTGTCTGATGCACAGGTCATGTTACACTGTTTCAGGTTATCTATACAAGAATTTACACTAACAGATGAGTAAGAAAATGTTTTCCATGGCTTTGTTAGAAAATACAAATTGATGTTCCATCTACAATAAAAACAATGAGAAGAGATTTCTTCACCTCAAGCAAATGACCTTACTTTGGTTTCACTTATTAAAACCTAGCTGATTCATGAGATCTTTACCGTCACAGCCTTTTTACAAGGCCCATGACTGCTGCTCTCCTCTGGTTCATTCCAGAACTGATGTTTGTACAAGCCCAGCTCAGAGCTGTCCTTGTATGTTTTGCCTAACCACCCCCTCCTTTTTCAGCAGATCTTTTGTGCAAAATTATTTTGTGTCATTTGTATCTGTATGAGGCTTCCTCTTGTATTTCAGCAATACATGGACCTACTCTGTCAGACAGAGCAGGCGGTTGCCTACGGCACTGGAGCTCCAGGAGCTGCAACTTGTTTTATGGTTATTTAGTTTATAAGCAACTTTGTTCTAGAAGAGGGAAATGTTTTCATCTGCCTAGAGTTGCAAAATCTCTTGAAGTGGCACTGGTCATATCGGTAACATCTTTGAAACCCATTTTATCTCATTTTGAATGCAAGGGGGAAAAAGTGCAATCATCACAACTAAATTCATGCAGATAGTTTAATCAAAACCCTTTAACTTATTAGCAAGATCTCAATTGTTCTATGTTAATGTAAATTCTGTGTCATGCAAATGCATCAGCATGCGTGTCTCACACTCCATGTGCACATCAGAGTCCCCTGTGCAGGCGTGAAGGCAGCAAATGGGGTACACACTGCAGGCCACTGATGTTGTGTGTCTCAAGCTGTGCCTCAGTGCTTTTATTTCTTAAAAGTGCCATGATGGGTATCAGAGCTAGTCCTGTGGGTGAAGCTGCACACTGTTCTAGCTGAATTTATTACTTTTCTTTGCTTGGGTGAAGCAAATCCAGAAAATAGACATGTAGGTTTTGCAGTTTCCACCTCTGTGCATATATCAGGGTGTATTTATTTCTGCCTGTGTTTTTTACTCCCACTATTTGAACTAGTTGGTCACTTCCAGCCCTTCTTTTTTTAACAGGGAGCAAGTCTCACATGTAGGACTTCCCTACCAGTTTTATGGAAGTGGGCAGTTGAACAGAGCAGACAAGCATTATTAATGTCTCCACCGAGGGAAAAGCTAATATGGGAGCTTGACCCTTATTAGAAACAGAAAAACCATAGAAAACTAGGATTCATTTGGTTCCACTCTTATAGAACTGCTTCGTTATTTCATTTGGCCACTGAGCTGAAAAATCACGTAGTCATACAGTCCTAATTAATAGATGATCCCCAAAGGAAAGGAAAGAACATGGCTCAGAATTTATATAATTGTATATTTAAAGCATTTTTGGCTGAGTAACCTGTTGGTCACTCTTGTGGTATGTGTTATTTTCATATTATAAGGCAACTTAAAAAGCTTTGTTTTTAAAGATATAGACTACATATTTTTACCTTGCATTTTTGTCAATATACAGTTGTGATCCATTAACATTTTAAATTATGATACATGAATGCCATATAAAGTAATTTCTATTATATTGTTCTTTGACAAGAACCAAAAAATTGAATTTTAGGTGTCTGCATGAGGCTTCAGCACTGAACTCTTTTAGATACAATTTTTGCATGGTTTTCTAGACCAGGTAGCCAAAATTATTTTTCCATATGGAGTTTGTTGCAGCTTTATGCATCAAACTCATCCTGAGGTGTAGTCTGCTGCTGAATATATCCTTTGAATTATCATCTCAGTATATAAGTTGATGTTGTCTAATGGACAAATACAGAAGTAAACAAAGTCACAAGTGGTCATGCTAATACTGGAGAGATTGTTTTAAATACAATAGCAATTGTAAATACAGCCTGTGCTGAAGTGATTTTAGCTACAAGGAAAGCATGACTCGCAGGGTTAGGTACATCCAAAGCAAGGAAAACTTTTGATGCCCATGCTAACAACTTCAAGCAAGTTCTTAATTAGTTTATCAATCCATTAATGAATTTTCAGACATTTTATCCTCTGTGTATGGCAGAGCCACAGTATCCTACTGTGTAAAGTAGTAGAATGTTTAATACTGGCTACTTTTGTACAGGGGGTATTTTGTTCCTTTGCTTTTGGTCAACTATTACTTGAGGGCATGATCCTCCAGCCTGTGGAGGATCACAGGTTCAAACAAGGACCAACCTGATGCTGGACAAGTTTGAGAAGTTTCTTTGCAAAGACACTGTGGAAGGAGCAGATCAGCTGAATTAATCCTGTTCTCTCCTTGTTTCCAATGCAGGCAAATGAACAACTGTGCTTAAGTGAGCATATGTACCTTTTAATAAATTTTTTTTCAAAACTAAACTGTAATTTATCACTCTATTTTTCAGAGTTGCTTGCCTTGAAAAGGCTTTTGAAAATGCTCTCTTCTTCTGCTCTTTTTTGACAAAACGTATGCTAATGAGTCCAGCGTCTTCCACCAAAATTGAGTTCACTTGATAGGATTCCTCACAAAAAATAAAAAAACACAAAAAAGAAGAAGTATATTTTGTCGAATTGCTTCATGTCTATAATTCTGAACCAAATGGTTTTATTCCCTTTTTGACAATTGCTGTACCCTTTGACAGGAATCTACTTCCCAGGATGTAAACTTGCCATGCTCCTGTGAAAGCAGTAAAGCAGCTGATTTATACCAGCTGAGCATATGGCCCGTTGTGTACAGCACAGTGTCAAGGGGAACAAGAGATGCTCAATCTTCTGCTTTTGGCAATGTTTCTTTTTCCCATGCTTCCTGGGTTTTCTCTCTCCTAGCCAAACCCTTAATGTTACAGTAAATTTAAATGTAAATATTGTTTTGTTTTTGCAGTTAATAGTTGTAGGTCAAATCACTTTTCATTAGGTTTGTAAAGTGCTACATGAAGAGCTGTGTACCCTAAGGTAATGGTTTGAGTTGTTTATATCTACTGTACATTTCCCCCAACATGATTTTGAATTGTATCCTGTTGTAATTAAATGGAAAACCCACCCTACTTCCTGTGTGTTGGTGGCATCGAGGTGATTTAAGTACTCGGGAGGCTTAACAATTAAAGTCATTAAACAATGAGCAGTGAGCAAAACTGGAAATGTTAATAGCCTGAGTTTTATCTTTCCTTTTCTGGTCTTCATTAGAGAATGAAAGACTTCAAAGGAGACTGAGGGGAAAAACCTCTGTTTTAACTGCTTTCATGTTGTAGGATGGACAAAGAGAAGCAAATAACTAGATATGGCAATTTCTTTAAGAGATAGGCACAGAGAACTATAAAAGCTTACACACAGAAATATGAAGCAAGACAGATAGATGTGGGCAATCTGATATCTGTTATTTTTTAGTGACCCTAATGTGCAAAATGTGCATGAGCAAAAATTGTTGTCATTATTTATGATCCAAACTAGTATTAGTACTGTATCAGATACCAATGAGAGGATTTAAAATTTTTTAATATAGCATGATCAATTAAACTGAAAAAAAACAAGGTTTCTCTTTAAGGCTGACTATATGATTGGGATTTATTTTTATTTATGTGGTGCATGTACCCTTTAGTTCTGCATATGTCACTACAGAGAAATGAGGGGAATGGTGAGGGTGAGAGCAGAACTGGACCCACTTAGTTAGGCAGGAGCTGCATGCATACACTATGGAAAGGAATCTAATCATTTGGGGTGAGTTGAAAAGAAGATGAAATACTTGATGTAGCTTCCTAAAACTCCCATTCAATTGCAGTTATTGCTCCTCTTCCTCAAGAAGGAATGCCAATATTGTTCCAAATCCCAATCCCTCTAAGATTAACAGGTGAGCAAAGTGCCAGTGGAAATGTAGATTATGCCTTTTAAAAAGTACCTAAAGAACAAGCTGCACATACTAAATTTATATCTGAATTCAGATGTTGCACTTGAGGATGCTTTTCCTGGTACTGGCACTTGGCACCTGTCAGTTGTGTTACTGATGCTGTTTCATATTTAAAGTGTTGGTGGGTCAAACATACTAACTGAGAAGGTAGTAACCAGTGCATGAACTCCCATTTGCTGAGAGATAGTCTGCCACTTTTGTTTCAAGCAGCCTGTGTCGTCAGTGAAGATTTTCCGGACCCTGTAATACCTGTCAGCTCCAGTAAGGCATGCGACCTTCGCAGGGAGCTTGAAGATGAAGAGATTCCTTCATATATCGAACAGTTTGAGAGAGATGTTCAGAATGACATAATTCTGCTTGGCAGCTTTTCACTGGAGCAGGTCAGAGTTAAGAACTATAAGACAATTTTATCACTTGCTTCACAACATGATGCTGGCTTGTTAACCTTGTACACCCCAATTCTGTTTCTCTGCCTGGTGATACTATATTGAAAGAGGAAAGGATAACCATTGTCACTGGCATGCTTTATGTGACTGGCACTTTGCTAAGCTAACAGCAGGACCTTTATCTTTGTCTCCATTTCAGTGTGAATAAAAATAGATTGCCTTCATGCTTTCTTTCCTAAATAGTGGAGGATCTCTGACTGCTATGCAGTAATATTGCAATTGAGTTTCAATCAAGAGACTAAGTCTAGGACATCTCTCTCTGCCACATTTAACAGAGGCTTATTCATCAGTGAGCAAGTTCGGATTGGAGCCCAGGGAGGATTTATGCAGCAATGTTCATTGTGTGGAGGATAAGATTATTTCCCTATTATAAATCTGTTATGTTTGTCAGGGTGGCAAAGCTCTCTAAGGTTTTCTTTTTGTCATTTATGGCATAAAGAGACAAGTTCTGGTTCATGTTGACAAAGGCACAAGTTTGCAGGGCTGATACTTTTGGGCACCTAATGACCATTTATCCCTTTGAAAAATCTCATACTAAGACTAGAGGACAGGAAGAGAGATTAATTGATGAATCTATCATTTTTAATTAGCAACATGAGAACAGCGCACTGGCTCTGATGGGCTTAAAATAGGTTATCCAGTGACTGATGGTGATCTAAGCTTTCTTTTATTTTCAGAGAAAGTTTTTAGATTTTTTTTTCCACTGCAGGACTAAACCTTATCATTGCCTTCTGCATGATGGTGAGGGACACAATTCTCTTCCTTACTGCTTTCCTCTAAATCCTGTAGCTATATTTAATTCCTTGTGACTTTTTATAGCTGTATGCATCATGCACAGAAGGTGGTATGGGTAATACTGTTCAGAGAATGTGAAATGGAAGGGAACTGTGAGGGAAAAGGACTTTGATGGTACTGAGAACCTCATCTGCCCCAAGGGATGGATGGAGAATGAACCTGGGAATCGGTGAAATCAAAGAGCTGCACCTTTCCAGAAGGTTATAATGTGTTGAGAATTTGCACTTTAACTATATTTGGGCTATTCAGATATCCCCAAAGATTCATGAGGCTCTGTGACACCTGAAGGAACATAATAGGTGTGTCAAAACTTTGTTTACCCTCCCTCTAAACATGGTCACATGGCTGATCATCTTAATTGGAATATTTTTGGAGGTGTTCAGTGTATTTTGTTTCCTAGACGGAAACAATCTATCTGGTCACCCCAAAACTACATTATGCTTTTAAACTGACAACTACATAAGTGAATTTACATTTAATACAATACAATAGTGCTTTTCTTTCTTATATTAGTCCAAAAGAAAGGAAATCCTCATTTAGTGTGATTGGTTGAGCTGGTCTACCATGATTTTTCAGAGAGGCACTCATTCTTTACTTGGCAACAAAGAGGTCTTGAGTGCCCATGTTTTCTGTCCATTTCTCTCACACATCTCTAACTTCAAGATTTCATGTCCTGCTAAGGAATTTAGTCCCAGTGACATGGTATTAGCTGTCACATATGCATTCTGCAATGCACAGAGTAAGAAGAGGATCCCTGTAAAATCTGTATTGTCTTCTGGATCACTGATCTATACATCCATCCCTTCCTTAAAAGACTACAGAAATGGTGTATTCAGTCTCTTTTGAGCAGAATATAGAAGAGCTGACATTGGAAGTAGATGCTGCAAATACCATGTCATTGTATTGGGTTTTGGTAGTTGTGGGGGTGGCTACAGGAATGGCTTCTGTGAGAAGCTGGCAGAAGCTTCCCCCTATATCTAGCCATTCCCTCATGGCTTCAAGATGGACCAAACACTGGCCAAAGCTAGGCCAATTAGAAATGGTGGTAACACTGCTGTGATAATGTATTTAAAAAAAAAAAAAAAAAAAAAAAAAAAAAAAAAAAAAGCAGGCAAGGTATTGCACAGTTGTAATTGTGGCCAGAGAAAAGCAGAGTGAGAATATGTGAGAGGAGCAGCCCTGCAGACACCAGGCAAGGTCAGTGGAGAAGGAGGGGGAGGAGGTGGTGGAACAGAGATTCTGCCTGTGGTGCAGACCATGGTGAAGCCGCTGTTCCCCTGCAGCCCATGGAGGACCCTGGGGATACAGAGATCCACCTGCAGCCCATGGAGGAGCTCACAGCAGAGCAGGTGGATCCTGAGAGGAGACTGGGATCCTGTGGGAGGCCCATGAGGCCCATGCTGGTTCACGGTCCTGGTGGGACCTGCAGACCCATGGAGAGGAATCTATGCTGGAGCAGGTTTCCTGGTAGGACTTGTGATCATGTGGGGGACTCACACTAGAGCAGCTTGTCTCTGAAGGACCTCATTGTGTGAAAGAATGACACTAGAGCAGTTTGTGGAGTACTGTTGCCATGGGATGGACCCATGCTGAGGAAGTTCATGGAGAGCTGAGCTTTAACTGGACCCCAAGCTGAAGCAGGGAAACGACTCCTCTCCCTGAGCAGTGGCAGGAGCAGCCTGTGATGGTCTGACAGTAACCCCCATTCCGTTTCCTGGGCTGGTGTGGGGGGCAGGTAGAGCTAGGAAGAAGAGAGGGCTAGAACAAAGGTGTTTGTAAGGCCTTATTTTCTTTGTCAGTATCCTGTCCTGATTTTGTTAGTAATAAATTCAATTAACATTTCCAATTCTAACCTGTTTTGCCAGATTATTTTTAGTGAGAAATCTCTCCCAGCCCTTATCTCGACCCATGAACCCTTCATTGCATTTTCCATCCCTTGTCCTTCTGCAGGGGGGAGTGACAGAAGGCTTTGGTGGGTACCTGGTATCCAGCCATAGTCAACCCACTACAGTCATATTGGTATACCAAGACTTCTAGCAATAATGTGAGCATGCTAATTCTTGTTTAATTGATCTTCTTTATTCTTTAATGGACATCTTTACTCTTTGATCCATGGATATACCCCTGCAGCATTTCAGCGTTGATGCTTTTCCACAACAACTACAGGTTAATTGTTAGACTGCTGCCATGGTCTTCAGAATCTGTTGCTACTGACTTTGGGATGCTCCAGATTTTGTTGCTTGAATGTATGTTTATTGGTTTGTAAAAGTCTTTAATTTTGTGCACGGCATTTACTTCTTATTCAGTGGAAAAACTCTTCCCCTTCTCTCTGCAGGTTTAGTGAGTAGCAGATGTACTTTAGCCAGCATAATTTATGATTAGTTAATTTAATCTGCCATAATGACATAAAGTGAGCCTGAAACAAGCTTCTATCAATTTTGCTATTAGAGGTAGCATAATATTTTCAAATGTCTACAAAACTGAGTAATTAACCCTTGGGCTGAGTAAAAGAGTCTAACAGACATCTCCCTCACATTCCTTTGTTTTGACAAAATGAAAAAAAAACCCACAGGAGCCCAAGGGTTAAAAATACCAGGTGAGATGTTACAGTATGCAAGACTGGTTTTGTAAGTGAGGTCCAGAAACACACTTGAGTTGCTGTTTTTTCTTTTTAGGCTGCCAAATTTCTCTCCAATGGGGCACCTGATTTCTCTGGAGGGTTGCTTGAAGTGTTGGCATGAAAAGGATAGCTATGGATCAACTATCTATCCCTTAGTTCATTGTTTTTCTCTGCTTTGTAGCATTACAAAAAATGGGTGGCTTTTGTTTAAACAGCAGCTCAGTGTGTTAGATGACCATGATTCAAAGCTTTTGAAAGGGCAAATGCATTTCTCAATATAATACTTTTTGGAAAAAGGGTTTATGTTAGATTTTAACTCTGGAACTTTAAGCTGTATTATTTCTTACTTCATGTCCTGTTTTGTAAATGCAAAAACTGAGAGCTGAGGTTGGCAGGAAATGCATAAGGGGAGATCTGATAGATTCTTGCAAAGAAGGCATTAAGCAGATGTCAATGTTCTGTTAACAAATACATTAAAGAATATTAAATTTGGAAAGCAGTGCTGTTTTGTGTGACCTGCCGTGTAGACACAAGGATTTCAAAGGCCCCAGTGACATTTGCTTTCAATAAGGAAAAATAAACTCTGTTGCAAGAAAATCAAAACTTGAGACTGTTGTGGTAGAAACTGAGGAGGTACAACCAAGGCTGGATATTCAGAGCACCACAGAAAACCATTTGTCATGAGATAATGCAGGGGCACATGCTTAGGGGTGGAACTTGATCTTACAGGGCAGAGAAATATGCAAGGAAATACCTGAAATAATGCTGACTTACCATGTTTGCTTAAAGATGGGGTGCTCTCAAAAGCTGACGGACTGCTGAAGATGGAGCAAACAGTGGTGCTTGGAGTGAGATTGCACTTGATGGGCTTTTGGCAACATAATCTTGCCATACACGAATTAAAATTCCATGGGAAAGTACTACCAACCTGAGAATTTTTGCTGTGTCTGAACTGAGACAATAAAAGTGGCTACTCAGTTTTATGTAGGTTCTCTCAGAAAAAAAAAAAAAATATGATGTGACTGAAAGGATCAGTACTGCCCCACAAGCCAAGAATATCTTTCCTGTTTGCTCACCCTCCTCCTGCAACTTAGTTATCATTCTTTACCAGGGTAATTTGTTTACAGCTTCCATCTCTCTCTGCCAGTTTCAGCTGCTACATTTACCCCTCTGTTCAGGGCATAGCATCTCACAGGACTTGGTCATCTTCACTATATAATCAGTTTTGATCCATGACCTCAATGTGAATAACTCAAGAGCCTCTGGATGTAAAGTGCAAGTTTTGCTCTTTGGTACCAGCAGCTGAGTTATAGTAGTAAGAAATGAGCTATTTGTTGCAGGTGGATAGTAATAAAATGCTGTCTTTCATCAAAAGATTTACCTTTTGGTTAAACAGAGGTTAATGCCTCAGGGTATTAGATCTAATACTCTTACAGGGTCATTATCATCACTGCTCTGACTCTTTGCCAAGTCATAGAGATCAATTTATATGATGATGGAGAGCTCAGTTTTCCTTTCA